TTCTAATCAGGGGATTGTGGGTTCGAATCCCACCGGGCGTGTTATCCTTCTAATTTTTCCTAGGAAATTTAAGTGTCAAGTGAGGTATGTGTAAACAAAGTGCAGCGTTCAATCCAAACAATTTTGTAAATTCTCAAGGGAATTAAACACCGAACTGCATAAGAGGCCAATCAACTCTCAATTTATAAATTCCTTAAAATAAACTCCCAATTTTTAAAAATATAGTTTTAGAGTTCAAAGGCAATGCAATTGTATCTCACGTGCAGTTAAAGCCCACTATATCGTTGCCCGCCGCTAAAGAAGACCTTAGCCTTCCCAAGCATCTGTGGAGATGTGCCTAGATGAATCTCGTTGCTCCCTTCACAAGAGATGTGCATGTTAATGACATTGGTGTTCTGATTTGTTCAACTGTGACTCCAGATCTGTTGTACCGGGACATCGATGAGTGCCGAGAGAAGCCAGATCTGGAATGAGCCTCTATCTTCTAACGCCGACGCATACTATTTAGAAAGGGACGACGTAGGCACACCATCGACGCACCTGCTTCTCTGTCGCCACTTGTCTCCTCCATCGACATGCCATCGTCGGCGCCTATCTCCTCTATCGGCATCTCCGGTTACCCTTCTTCCCCGGTCGCCACTTGCCTCCATCACATCTCACTTTGGGCGCCTCGACGGTATGTTACCCGCCCTCACACTATACGCATAGACAATTTGTGCAGGGGAGAGGGGAGAGTGGAGGGCGACCGTCTGTGTGAGGGGTGGTAGGAGGGGAGTTTTTATATTAAGGATTTCAAATAATATTACTAATATACCTTCCACTTAATTCTGACCTTAGTATCATTATATTAATCTAATGGCTATCATGCAAGTCGGGATGATGCTAACCCCTTGAGGGGTAAGCAAATAAACTCATTCCAATAACTAGAAATGGGAAGAGTGAGAGATAGTTCAATTAGCCCAGAATTACCTAATGGAGTGTCGGCAGTATCAGGAACCAAACCCATGGCTGACATCGCCTGCCGGAGTTACAGATGGGAGACACCGGCAGAGATGGGCAAATTCAAGGCAAATGTAGTATGTAGATGCAAGTGTTTTGAAGGAAGGGGGAACGAGGTTTGGCATGGTTGTAAGGGATGGAGAGAGAAGATTTGTGATTACGGCAGTGAAACGATTTAGGGTGCGATGGACACCAGAAATGGCGGAGGCGAAAGCTTTTTTGTGGGGTTTGAAGCTCGTAAAGAAACATCACCTAGTTCCAATGCTGATGTGTTCAAATTGCAGGGGAAGGAGATCATTAATTTGGAAATCGACATGGTTTGTGAAGAGATTAGAGAGCTGGTTCAGAAAGGAGAGGTGGATTGGAGGTTTTGGGAAGAGAAGGGAATGTCGCAGCTCACCAGATTGCACGAGTGTTGTACAGATGGGAGGAAAGCGAAATCTAGTTCGATCTGCCAACCATTTTCATTGTACTCCAACTCCTAGCTGATTGTAATGATTTGTCCACTCTTAAATGGGTGAATTGCAAACTTTGTCACCCATATTACTCATTTATAACACTTTAGCCACCCGAATCAAAAACCATTCATCTTAGTCACTGATACTACACGTTTATGTCATATTTGGTCACTTGCCGTCTAGTTCCGTTAAGTTTGTCCTACGTGGCAGTCAACAAATAATTTTGACCGTTAAAATGCTGATGTGGCCATTAAAAATTAATTAATTGATAAATTTTAAATTTCATTCTTTTACAGCTCACAATTTTCAATAACAAAATATTATTTATGATAAAAATTTAACAATTCCCCACCTCCATCCCGCTCCCCAGTTCGCCAATTCCCCCATCTCCGTCTCTACCGACCCTTCCTCCGTCGCGATTGATTCCATCTGCAACCTTCATTCCGCCCATCGCCACAACAAACCTTCCTCCGCCCATCACCATCGCAATCCGAAACTCCTCCGCGCCACAATTGATTCCATCTCAAACCTCCTTCGCCAATACCCCCATCTCCGTCTCCATCGACCCTTTCTCTGCCAATCTGCCATCGGCCATCGCCACCGCAAACCGAAACTCCTCCGCGCCACGTTTGATTCCATCTGAAACCTCATTCGCCAATTCCCCCATCTCCGTCTCCACCGACCCTTCCTCCGCCACTCTCTGTTGCCTTATAGTCTCCCACGGCGTTCCCGACCAGTTCCAGAACCTGAAGAACCAAAAAAATCACCAAAACACAACGGTTAGTTTCTAGATCTGAGAGTTATTTGCGATTCGATTAAGAAAAGGAGTGAGCATATCGACATTTGCAGGCACCACATCGACCCCAGCAACCGAAATCCTCTTCTGTAAGACCTTGATTTGGAGCTTCAGCGGCTGAATTTCGCTCAACGGGGACTCCCGCTCGCGAAGCCACCTATGCTCTTCCCGGATCCACCGCTGCTCCTCGCTCAGCCACTTCTGCTCTTTGTGGAGCCAGAGAAAGCTCCTCCTCGTCAATGCAACTGTGAATTGGAGGGACCCCATCGATTGCACCTTCTGTTCGTCGTCATTGGGTTTAATTCGGCGAAACTATTGGGAGGATTGTGGTTTTGCGGCGGGATGCTTGGAGCAGCGGTGCTGGAGATTTTGCAATAGAAAGAGGATTGATGGGTTTTGCGGCGGGATGCTTGGGCTCGTGGGTTTCAGGTGGCATGGAGGCAACGAGAGGGGAGGGCGACGAAGTGCAACGGCGGAGAGGGGGATGGCGACGATGTGCAACGACGAAGAGGGGAGGGCGAGCCGGTGGGCTGGTTTTAGTAAAATTTATATTAATTAGTTTTTTATGAAAATAATATTTATTAGAATTTAGTATGATGTGGAAATAAATATTATTATTATTATTATTTTTAATTGACACTTCAGCTTTTTAACGGTCAAACATTGGAGTTGACTGCCACATAGGATAGACTTAACGGAACTAGACGGCGAGTGACCAAAAATGACATAAACATGTAGTATCGGTGGCTAAGTTGAATGGTTTTTTATTAGGGTGGCTAAAGTGTTATAAATGAGTAATATGGATGACCAAATTTGCAATTCACCCACTCTTAAATAAAAGTATACAGGCATTTATAAAAATAATAATAATAAAAAAACTCGTTCCAATTAGGGATGGCAGGCCCGGGTCCGCAAGCGGATACCCGCCCGAAGCCCGCCCGAATTTGGGCCTGGTGGTTGCTGGTTTGAGGCCCGTCAACGGGCCGCGGTGAAACCGGTATCCGTCAACGATGGGTCTCGGGGGGTGACGGATCGAGAACTATCCGCCCCATAACCCGCCCGACGGATTACCCGTCCCGCAAAACGTCGTAGTTTTTCTCGAGGTATATATTCCCTCCGAACTCAGAATTAACCCTAGCCGCCTCGTTCATTCGATCCATTCCCTTGAAAACGAAAGAAACCCTAATTTGACCAGCAAAAAAAAAAAGAAACCCTAATTCCTTCTTTCTCTCTGCCTCTCTGGCGATCAGATTGCAAAAAGATCGCGATTGAACAGATTTTTCGCCCTTTCCCCTCTCCAAATCGCCAAATCCAGAGACTTTCTCCTATTCCCCTTGTCATCTGTCTTCAATTCCTCCAATCAAATGGCAAGAGGAGCAACCATTCGACGACGACTTCGTCGACCACATCCCAGAAAACTGAGAAAAGAGTCGTTAGGAGTTGAATCATGCTCCCAAATTGTTGATTCTTCGTTGACAGATAAGGATTCTCATCTCTTTCTTTCTTTTATTTTCATTCGATTTTTGAGGTTAGACCCAAAATATGAACTGACTCTTCTACTCCTATATATATGGGGAATTTCCTAGCGAGTGTTCTACCTTCGTTTCTCATCATCTGGCCATCTTCTTACATCCAGAACACCCAGTCCCCAGCGAGCAGAGAGTCAGAGACGAGACTCGAGACCAAGTTCTAGGCAGAGACAAAGAGGCAGAGACGAGACTCGAGACCAAGTTCTTCTGGGTAAGATCTTGATTTCTTGTGTACTTTTTCTGGGTTCGTGGTGTCAATATAGACATGCATGTACAGTACTAACTAGTTTTGTTTATTGTTCATTCCCTTTTTTGGTTTTTGTAGACTCGGTTTAATTCGATCTTAGAGGATTGAAGATCAAGGAAGGAATCGACTGACGGCTGTGTGCTTGACATTCTTCAGAAGACTCATTAAGTTGTTCAGAAGGTAATCTCTCCAGGGTCTTGGTGTTGTTTTTTTGGTTTAGTGGTGTATGGATTGAGAGTTCTAACTTTGATTTTGTGTTTGTCGTTTGTTCTTGTCCATTTGTTTTTTATAATACAGGGAGATGTTCAGGTTTTTTTCATATAATTCAGTGCTTTTGTTGGTATTGTTGCGGGTATTTCATACCCGCGGGCACCTGAAAATCCAGTGGTGATGGTGTTGGTTATATTACCAGACCCGGAAATGTGTATGGGTCGGGGACGGGGAAACCCGAAGCCCATCGTGGATGGGGAACGGATACAAGGTACCTGGCCTCGATCCGCCCCGTTGCCAAGCCTAGTTCCAATCTTAACATTATTAATTAGAGAGAAAATAAAAGGTGAAAGTAAAAAATTATGGAGCTGGTCAAAATCCCTAAGATTTGTAATTCCCTTGAGCACTTCTACTATACTATATAGTATTGGTGCTTTAATGTACAACTTAAAGTTGTACCATAACATTAAATGTATAAGTTTAGGTTGTACCATAAAGCAATTTGTATCATTATGTTATGGTACAACTTTACAACTTGAAGTTGTACCATCACATAAAGGTACAAGTTCAACTTGTACCATAAAAGAATTTGTACAAAAAGTATAGGTACAATATGAAGTTGTACCATAACGTAAATGTACAATTTTAAGTTGTACCATAAAGGCAAAACCCTATAGCACCAATACTATATAGCATTGTAAAATTTCTCAATTCCCTTATCCCCTTCCTACGGTGAAGTCACTGATAAAGAGACCACCTTTGTTTGGGGACGTTGACGTTTGAGCTGTCCTTCGCGTAAAAAGCCTCGCGGCCGAAGATTTAATCCGTTGCGAGTTCCTGATTGTATTCACTGTCGGAATTCCTGTCGCTATCCTTGTTCATTGGAACAACACTGTCCTTGTTAATTGGGTGTTGGTGCAAAGCTAAGTAAGAATAATGGCGGGTATCGCAATAGTGTTGGATCTGTTGAAGAAAAACCCCAGCGCTCATTCGCCCCAGTTCTCTGCATCCGCCGCCGTATCAGCCGCTGCCGCCTCCGTCGCCGCTGCGAGCACCCCTTTTGCCTCTCGGTTCTTGTTCGGGTACGGCTTCTGCCTACATGATCTTTTGCTTCTGTTTCAGTTTTGGCGTTTTACGCGCCGAGGAGGAACGGGAATCTGCTGTAAGATTCTGGGTTTTGATCGATTGGAGTGCTTAAAGAATTAGCTAGGGAGAATGTGATTATTACTTTACTGGGTTGGAATTTGATTAATCATTCCTATTGTGTGGATTGTAGCTTGTGTTTTCTTATTGCAGTTGCTTGTGCCTTTGATTTGGTTGCTCCCATGATGATATTGTATCCATTGTTGTTTTCATTGTGGGGAAAATAAGTACTTCCTCTATGAATGCCCACGAATTGGCCTCCGATGAATTGAGCTTTGTCTAAGCATTGATACTTCTTGTTGCCATGCCAGTTTTCCTGAATTTCCAGTTGCATACTGTGATGCTGGTGCTGCAATTTCACCAGACTATATATCCGCCATCCGAAGTGCCTCTAGCAGTGTCTTTCAGCACGATTCTCTGAAGTACACGACCAAGGAATACTACTTCGATGTAAAGCCGCTGTTTTCAGCATTTGAAGTGAAGCAACTGGCCATGACTTCATTGAGGTCGTTCTTGATGTATTATTTGCCTCTTCTGGAGCCAAGCATACATACGGAAGAGGACGATGATGACTTCCTGCAGGATGCTCGAGATGAGAGACCTGTCGATTTGGTTGTCCCTTTCAAAAAATCAGTGAAGCAAATTGCTCGCGAGGTATAATTTCATTCCTTTTTTTCTGTGGTTTTCACCCCTATGGAACTAAATGTGTGTCATAATCTTGTTCCTTTGTACATTTGAGTTGGTATAAACCGCTGACATGAAATGCTTTCAGTAAGTAGTTGCCAGTGCACACACCAACTTTCACAGTGTTGCTTTCTTTTGGTTGTGGTAGATAGGTTTGTTCTTTTTGCGGTCCTTAAGGACTTCTAGCTAGATAACATCAGACTATAAAAGCTATGATTGAAAAATCACAGTAACCTTGGTATCTTTTTGGGGGCACCTTTCAATGACATAACCGAAGAAGGTTAAATGTGCTTGTGAAGCTAAATATATGTAGTTTTTACCCCAAGGCATTTTACAGCAGTAAACATTTGAGCAACTTTTGTTTCAACATCTTCTGTCAAGTGGCTTATCGATTGGAGAATGTCCATGGTTTGCAGTGTGTACTTATCTTCGGTCTTTATGTAGAACTAGAGCTGCACTTTTTTTGCTCAAGGCTCTAAAAACTGTCATGCATAATAAAATAAATCATGTAAGAAAGCAGTAGGGTTTGTCTATGGGACAGTATTGCTGAGCTGTTGCACACCTGCAAGTCTTTTTGCCACCATATTGGTTTGTTCTATACTTTGACAAGCAATTTTTTTATAGGTAATATGTGTCCCAAATTTCAGGTGCATTGAATGTTTCATCCACCCTTACACTTGTCAACGACTTGGGGTTTACTGTACCCTGACAATTGAGCTTAGCTAAGTTTCTTTAACCATTAGAAACATCTAACTAAAGACACTTCACTTCTCCTCTGTTTCTGTGATCTAACTATCTGCATGTATATGATACCCTATGAAGCAGAGAATTAAATCTGCAGTCAGCATGCTAATACTCTCCTCGTTTTCCTCTCTTTGAATGTAATTCACCGATCGGTCTACAATAGTACAAGCTTGTAGTGAGTTGGTTATTCTTTATGAGAAATGTACTGAAATTGCTGATACGTGTTTGGCTTCTTCTACTAGCTCTCCTTTATGGCTAGGATTTAATGTGACTGCTTCTCATTTCAGACAACTGTGGTGACTACAAGGAGGATCTTAGAACGTCTTGCTGTCCATTATGTTTCTCAACGGATGGCATGGAAACTTCTTAAAGGTAACTACCACATGAAATGTAAACTTTTTTGATGTCCTTGTTAGTTTCCTAGATTCTTCCCAACTAGTATCTTCAGAAAATTTTGGGACCAAGCAGAATACCCGTTTGAAGGTTTCCCCCTTTGCAGAACAATTTCCAAGTTCTCCCATCATGTTCATGTCCCTTTCGCTCTGCTAACTTATTTAACAACCAATTTGCAGATATCCCCAAATCAGCCATGCGCAAGGCTGAAAGAGGATTACCTACCACGCTTTACATCTTCAGAGTCAGTAGAACGACTTTTAGAGGTCAAACTCCTTATCTTCCTCTCCTTATCTTCTGACAAATAATTGTCCTAGGGCTTTCCAACTGATGTGGTTTGGCACACTTACCTTTTTGTTTGAGCAGGGCACTTCTTAGGAGTTGCTGCATCATGGGTTGTGCAAGTTGGTATTGAAACATACCGATTCTTCAATCGGCTGGCAAAGTCTGAAGAAGAGATCGCACGGGTTGAAAAATCAGAACAAGTTAAAATCCTTGGCAAGAAAGTTACTGGTGTTACTCTCAGGTGTGGTGCTTCGCTAGTTTTTGCTGCCATAGGAGCTGGGATCACTGCTGCCATTGTCCGCCCCACAACTGGTCAATGGATCGGTAAGCAATATACATCAGGGCCAGGTTTTATATATTTGTTTTGTGCCCTTCAAACATGGCTAATGCTCAACTTTCCTTGTGCAGGCTGTGCTATCGGAGATCTGGCTGGGCCGATAATCATTACTGTCTTCCTGGAGAAAGCTCTCCATGTCGAGCTTTAGACTATAATATGAAATCATGGACCATATCTCTCACAACCTGATTGCAAAACCTTAGATTACCTTCCAACAATTTTGAATACATCTGGAGAACTGTCACCCCTTTTATAATTGTTAGGCACAACTGCACAAGCAGCTTCTTCAACCTGTTTGTTAGCTAGAATGTCAGCTTTGGAGACATTTTTCGATCGATTTTTGCCTTTGCTCTCCTTGAACTTTTACGTGTTATACGGTTTGTGCCTGTATCAAGTTGCTTTCATCAACAGGCAAAGATGCAATTTCTTCAGCCTGGTTGCCCTCAGTGCACGTGTCGGCAGATGCGGCTTTCTTTACATTGTTCTAGTGGTCGTTCGGATAGCTTGAGAATATGAAATGTCAGGCTTTCCATCATAATCATCACTACTTCGCAAACTAGAGCAACGCCTTGTGTCATTTAGGTTGTCATTAAGAAGTACAATTAGAATGAGCATGTCGCTTGATTCATCAAAGTTCTAACCAATGCTTTATGACGGTGGTATAATCATGGATCAAAAAGGCTAAATTGCAAGTTTGGTCACTCGAATTACTTAAAAATTTCATGTTTGCCACTAAAATTAATTTATTCTATCCGTAGTCACTTAAATTAGGTTAAAAGTTCAAGTTTGGTCACTCGCCGTTAGTCTCCGTTAACTTTTGCTGATGTGGCAGTCAACTCTTATAGTTGACCGTTAAATGAGTGACATGGCCATTAAAAAATAATAAAAAATAATTATTTTTATTTCCCACTGGTGATGGAAATAATGATGGGTTGCTGCGTCCATATCCATGAGTCCCCCACCTCTGATTTTGCAAGTTTCTGTTGAAAGGTTCAGAATAATGGACCATCCCTCGCGGGGGAACGGCTGCACCGTCAACGCCGAGCTCGAAATTGGCTTGGGGTGGCAGCGGCGGTGGCTGCTCTGGTTTCTGGGCCGCCAGAACCTCTGTCGCAATTCACTACTGCCCTTTCGATTTCCTGCTTGGAACATTTGAATCGAACCTCCATTGCCGCGATCTCAACAAGCTCCTCTCCGATTTCAATCTTCAACCCTAAATTCCTTAGTTCGGAGCTAACTTTTTTTCTGTCGCTGCTATCGTTGTGAGCGCCGTCATCGTCACCGTTTCCTTCAAAGAGCCAGTTCACGGATTCCTCTACCTCTGTCTGGCGTGCTTCTTCTCGTTCTTCAGCCGGATTTTTTCCCGCCGGTCGCTGTCCAGCCCAGTGACGGTAACATGAATGTTTTTCGGCAACCGGATTTTGAAACTTCTTTGAGGTCCTCCACTCCGGAGCAGCAGCTGCCGTTGATGAAAACCGAATCGGGTTCGGAGCATAGCAGTGATGCCCCGACCCGGCTGCTCGAATGGTCGTGGTCGGGCGATGAGGAAAAAACCGACAACGACGAGAGAATCAACTCAAGCACAATAATAATTAAATAATGAGGATTTTTTTTTAAAATTTATTATAAATAGGTGGAAAATAAAAATAATTTATTTTATTATTTTTTAATGGCCACGTCATTCATTTAACGGTCAACGGTAAGAGTTGACCGCCACATCAGCAAAAGTTAACGGAGACTAACGGCCAGTGACCAAACTTGAACTTTTAACCTAATTTAAGTGACTACGGATAGAATAAATTAATTTTAGTGGCAAACGTGAAATTTTTAAGTAATTCGAGTGACCAAACTTGCAATTTAGCCGATCAAAAAAGTATACTTTCACGCCTATCAACGATGTAGATGTTATGTGATAAAATATCTCGCATAGATAGATACATTTTAAATATATGTATTTGACGTTCAAACACACTTTTAATCAGTGCTGTCAAAGCCGAACCGAGCCGGCCGGCCGGACCGCCAAAGCCGCCACCCGGCCGTAAAATCGGCTCGGATAAGCTATTTAACCGCCACGGTTTTATACAGCGGCCGGCGAGCGGCCGAAGCGGTTAACCGCTCGAGCCGCTCAAGCCGGTCGTGCGGTTCGACCGTTTGGTTTACCCTGAAAAAAATAGAAAAGGACAATCGTGGAATCGGCCGTCAACACCTCTTGTCCCGGCATCGGCGCTTCCCGACGGCATCGCTATCCCCAGTCGCCATTGCATCGCCATCGCCATTCCTTGTTGTAGCAAGCAGCTCCCGGCGCTTCCATCCCGTCGCCACCGTCGCAAGCAGCTCCCCGCTAAGCTGCCTTGTCTCACCAGAGGCTTGGATTGAATCCGAGCCATTTCGCGGATTGGGACGAGGAAGAGCATTTACGGGTTAAGAAAGGATGAGGAAGAATTGAATGTGGTGATGGATTTTTGAGGAATTGCAGAAGGCTATAGTGGCTGAAAAATGAAAATAGGTGCAGCGGTGGGAGAGGAGGAAGGAGAGAGGGAGGGGGGATGGGGAAGCGGAAGGAAGGAGAGTGATGGGTGGGGAAGCGGCGCTGTCGCTTAGTATGAGGTTAGGTTTTTTTTAGTTGTTGTATATATATGTGTAGATATTAAATGGTACCTGTAATTATCATTTTTACTCATTAAATCATTGAATTATTACTTTATGTGTGATCTACTATAATATTATATTGTTTATAATGTACCGGTTCTCAAACGGTTTTTAAACGGTTTAATGCCGGCTGGACCACTAATGACCGAGCCGTTCACGTTACCGGGTCATACTCCAGCTCGGCTTTGACAGCATTGCTTTTAATACATTTTATCACCTGAATTAATAAAAAAACTGTTCTAATACGTTAAAGTCGTAAAGAGGTTAAAACCACACAATAATATCAAGTGAAATCCCCCCAAGATGTAGCAAAAGCCATTATTTGATATTACGTTTGGATGGCGAAAAGAAACTATTCGGTCGGCAATTAACTATACTATGTTTCACTAACTGGATTGGCACACAAGTGGGTGACAAATTGGGGTGGACAATGGGTTGGTCCATATTGAATTATACTGGACCAAACTGATGTTTGGATCGAACATCGAATCGAATATAATATGGGCCGATCTTTGGGCTCATGAATTTTATAAATACTGAAGAATCGACATTTAGATAGGATCAAAACAGACCGAATGCACTATTGGTCTGATCCTTGATACTAAGATATTTTTCATTATTCGATGCCCACCCTACTGACAATATCTCCGTCCATTTGAGGTCAATGATATTTTGGAAATTTACTATGGCAAAATATTTATTCTAATAAATTGGATTGGATTATACATTTATACCCATTGAAAAGGTCAAATGGGGGAAAAAAATTAAAAAAATTTGAGATTCTTTTTACATTACCAGTTTACCACCAAATGAGGTCTATGAAATAGAAGGAAAAGCTGTCGTAAAATTCCAACCTGGGTCTCCAAGTTGAAAAGCAATATTAAACTGCCATATCAGACTCTAATCCTCAATACTACTACACTTCACTTAATTATATAATAAATCAAACCATCCCAGTAATTCGAATTTTGGAAGATGTTCATAAATAAATTCTAACCACTTCCTTATATGCTCTTTTAAACGAAAGGTAATTAACTCACGAGTTTGAAACTTGCACTGTTGCACAGACTCATCATTCCATGTGACAACGGTTAATATCAGAGATTATGAGCTATTGAACATGTAACCCTCATAAACGTCATAAACCAACCGGTGCCACTAAATCGAATTATTGACACCCATTTGGTTTTTGACAAATCCACATCTTCTCACCATGAGATAGCATGTCTATGGCTATGGAGCTCCGAAGACTGGAGAGTAGAGGTGGCAATTAGGATCCAAATCCATGAATCCAATCCAATCCATCCACCAAATTATCCACTTAATCCAATCCATTTAAATCCAATCCATTTGATCCAAATCCAATTGGATTGGTGGATTCATGGATCAATCCATGGATCCAAATGGCAAATTACAATTCGGTACCTATATTTTTTATATTTTACATTTTGGTACCTAAAATTTATATTTTTATACGAAAAAAGTCATTGAAAAATTACATTTTGGTACCTAAAATTTTTCATTATGACATTTTAGTACCTAAACTTTTCAAAATTTACATTTTGATCCAAGCCTTGGATGTCATTTGGATTCATGGATCAATCCACCAATCCATTTGATCCAATCCATGAATCCACCAATCCATTGGATCTAATCCATTTTATCCATGGATCCACCAATCCAATCCACGAATCCACGAATCCGATCCAATTGCCACCTCTACTGGAGAGTGACTTACAAGTTCGAAGCTATATAGCTAAAAACAAATCAAGCAGACGACACACAAGGACTGCCATATAACTTCCTTATGGAAACTTCCCACTCCAATAATATTAACCAATGGAACTGCAACTGATGATCTTAACCCTTCTTTCTTGGAACATGCATGAAGCCGATCGACGGCTGACGTGCGTGCATGACGAAATGTTTCCTATTCAGCACTACTGCTGTACTGAGAAAAAGATGCAGATGGTGGCCGTTTTTTGTTTTTACCCTACTGGCTGTTGAATCTTCTAAATGCATGCCAAAGAAACAGCCATATTCTTGTCACATCAACCCTTGTTGCAAGTTAGTTAACTACGTACGCAATAAGGCAAGCTTTGGATGAATACGATATTAGAGCATCCACGTCAATGATATTTGCTCAATTTGTAAATTCTATATGATACGCAATACGAAATTGTAAATGGGATTTGCACTAATGTAGTGGGCATTTGCAAAGATGCAAGTTTGCATGAAATAAAATTGAAGATGCAAACCAAATAGGAAAACAGACTAGTCACTTAAACTCACATATATGCAATTGCAAGTGAATTGCATTTACATAGGTGCGATGAAATAAAATTGAGTTGGATTGTATAAAATTAGAGATGATGATAAAAACACCACATGTAATTAATTGATTTTTCGCAATTGTATTGATGTTGATGGTCTTACGCAGATTCCTTTTTTTTCCTTCTTTTTACCGGTTTGATGGGCTTGGTAATCCGGCCCACGTTGTACAAGTAATTACTGATTCCAAATTTATTGTGTCGTGAATATTCTAAAGCCACATATGTAGAAGTTAGAACCGAACGTTCATCAATATTAACACTCAACATTCATCCTCTCTCTCTGTGGAAAACAATTCGAGTTGTTGAGAGAAAGGTTAATTATGAATTAACATACCACTTTCAAACAAAAATCAAATCACGTGGGTTTTAAGTTTGCATGCCTAGATTCCTTTGACGATTGACTAAGTCGTCATATGAGCAAAACCTTATCGTCCCAAGTCCAACATCCTTTCTCTGCCATACGTAATTGACCCACCAGAGAGTCGAACCGGGTCAACCACCATGAATAAACGCAATTCATCCTCCTCCATATAACACAATTCATCCTCATCGCCACATCGCCACCTCTCCCAAATGAACTTGATAGAATCGCAAACACGTACACAATGAGAAACAGAATGATCTCTTGCTCGTCCCTCTGCGGATTCCTGCTCATTACAGCCGCCCTCACTTCAACTCTCTTCCTACCCTCTAAAACAACTCTGGCTGCCCGTGAACTCGCAGGTACGTGATCATCAGAAAGATTACTATCTTACCCTCTATGTACTTAGTGTGTTGGGAAATCAGAATACGGTGGAAACGGTTGCATATTATTACTGAAATCACATAGGATTTATTTCAGATTGACTTCTATAATAACCCTAACACTAATATATATGGAAATAACCTAATTTTTACGACGACTCCAATAAGGAATATAACTTGTCATGAACCAGTTGGTCCCAATAACTCGAGTTGTTGGGAGAAGGTTCTGCTGGATCTTATATATACTACTATCTCTAACATAACTCACATACTCTGTTGATGTGACTTGAATCGGACTATCAGCCGCGCGCGCTACGACTGGAATAGTCGGGGGTCTTGCTGACCGGGGACTAGCTAACCGCTTTTTCTTTACCAGATTGGATTAGGGTTAGACCTAGGAGAATTAACTATAAATACTTCTCATACTCCTCTGTAATCTGTAATCTCCTCGATATAATGAATCTGGCTCTCTCTCACCCGTGGACTAGCTAACACGCATTGTGTTAGTGAACCACGTAGATCGTGTATCGTGTACTTCTGTTTTTTCGTTTTCTTACTTTATCGATTCCGACGATTTCCCCATGCTACAGTTATAACATAGTGTAATATACCTAGTCGATTATATTATTGTCTCCGTACGTATTATAACAACTTTCTTCCTCTATACGTAGATTACTACCCATCAGACGACGACAAGGAGCAAAGCAAAGGGCTTGTCACGGGAAGCCACTCGACCAACTCCGGTTCGGCGACCGGAGACAGCTCAGCCTCCTCCACGTTCCAGGACCCGCCGCCGACGAGTCGTATTATTAACAATCTGAATGGGCCGCCGAGCTTTTCGCCGTCCAACTTTGAGAACGATTCCACCACCGCCGCCACCACGACTATGCCTAGTAGCGGCGGTGGTGGATACTCGGGTCAACGACCGCAAGGTTATCAATACGAATCGTACAGGTCGTCGTCGTCGTCGTATCAGAGTAATAGTAGTAATAGTGTTTTTAGAAACGCTGAGACGACGCAGGCGTCGTCGACGAGGACTGTGACGTATGGATCTGGCGGCGTCACTCGTGTTACGGTTGTTTGTAATAGTAACAATGAGGCGCCACGTGGTTGTGAGGAGGAGGAGGAGGGAGCCAACAGTTACCCGTAAACCTATCATCAGCCGTACAGCAAACAACCAGCTCTGTGGCTAGCTAGCAGCCATTAAAATTACCAGCTAGCTAGCTAGCTAGTCCACCGCTGGAGTAACTTAATTTGTCTTTACTTATGAATCCAGTTTCAATGTAATCGCATGCACTTGTCTTGGGGTGATGATACACGCGCGTAAGGCTGTATGTATAGTTATCCCCTTTCTAGCTAATTGAGTTTAGCTGTACGTAATGCTTATCTTTTACTTTATCAATTCTTATATATACTAGATTGTACCCGGTTGCAATACGATAACAGTAATCAACAAAGGTTTGAAGATAGTTTCTTAGTTTTTACCATTCAAAAAGTCATACTATTCAATTGCAGAGAAAATAAGAAAATAAAAAAATGAGCATCCATCATACATATTTACTACATTGTACTCGGTGTCTCAGCTCATAATAAATTTAATTAAAATATAATAGGTACTCAGAGATGACTGTTTTATCACTTCTTTACCGTAAATAATTTCCATCATCAAATGGCGCTTCTTTTTGTACATGTTTTGCGAAACAAATTCAAAGATAAAACATAACCAATATGAAATATCATTTTCCTGACAAAATAATTCACCTCATTATAATCATAAATTTTCTTGGAGATCATTGATTATGTTCAAAACTGTTAATTCGGTTATGTAATTCCCCGGTTTGAATATTTTTTAAATTGTCAACTTAGTATTGGATAAAATACAAATTAGTGTAAATATAATGAAAAAGAATTAGGAGCTTTATTCACTCATTAGATTCAAACTGATATTTACCTTAATGGCATATTTCTATTTCATGTTTTAAGTAATTATATTGATAATTTAGCCAAAGATCACATAGCCTAGTGGTGAAATCCTCGTGGTCGCTCGTTCCGGAAAGTGACAGATCATGTGTTCCACCACCTTCGAGGCCCACTGTGGTGTTCCCGGAGGCATCTTTGCAAAAAAAATTAATTGAAGCTCGACCTAACCCACTCTGACCTGTTGTATTCTCCGTTATTGTGTAAATTATATGTAAGTTTACATAAATTATATAATTTCACTTTAATTACATCATATTTTAGCTATAATAAAGTCATAAATAGATGAAAATCTCAATTTCTTGAAAAATTTCACTACACTTATTATTTTATAGTTTATTTGTCAAATTTTTAATGCAAAAATTAATTTATCAAGTGTTTTTCTGTTACAATACATACCCGTATGGGTTGACCTGTCGTGATCCGCGTCTTAAAAAAAATACCCAACCTGTAATGGGGCGAGTATGGATATCGATATACTTGCCCTATTAGAGGTGGCAAATGGATTGGATTGGTGGATCCATGGATCTAATGGATTCATGGATTCATGGATTGGATCAAGTGGATTGGTGGATTATCCATGAATCCAAATGACATCCTCAACCAAGGACCAATATGTAAAATGTAAAAAGTTTAGGTACTAAAATGTCATAATGAAAAATTTTAGGTACCAAAACGTAATTTTCCATTGATATTTTTCGTATACAAAATTAAATTTTAGGTATCAAAATGTAAAAAATAAAAATTATAGGTACTCAATCGTAATTTGCCAATGATCCATGGATCCAATCCATGAATCCACCAATCCAATTGGATTTGGATTTCATGGATTGAATTTAAATGGATTGGATTAGATGGATATTTTTAATGGATTGATGGATTGGATTGGTGGATTGGATTAAAATTGCCACCTTTATGCCCTATTGTCATTTGTATTCAAGCTCGCCTATTTGGTTTTTGGCTTTGTTAATTTTGGGTTAAGGTCTTTTTGCATTGTTTAAAAATGTCGCCATGTAATTTGCCATCCCTTTTTCATATTCGGATTTACCCTAAATTAAAGTAATCAAACCCACCAAGAATGAAACTCATATCCTTTATAAAATAAAAGGCAAAAGATCATTTAAGGCCTAAAAAAACATTGAGACCCAGAAATATAGATACACGAAAAAGAAAAGAAACTTATTTCTGAATTAAAAATAGAAAACCAAAAAGACCAACTGCTCCTTCCTAACTCTGCGCGCGGGCCAGGAAAAATAGAATGAAGTGGAGTTTGGAGGAGAACCTCCTTATATTGATTGGAGGATATATATGGTGTTGCTTATTGCTTAATTTGAAGGGGAAATAATGGTTATATTTCCCATCTAGGAATGAATCAACAAATTTAATTTGGCGATGGACTAAACTTGTATTCTCTAATTTTGCGTCATTAGAGTATGGTTGCATGTTAAGACTTTAAGAGTGGGCCCCTCCTCAATTGGGTTATCTTCTCTGCCATATTTCTCCACTTTGGAGAAACTTTGCAAGCGATTTAATTTTTTATGTACGTGTAGAGGTTTAATTAGTTATGGTTAATATTAAGTTTGGTCATTTGATTTATCATTTTTTGTTATAAAATACTACGTTACAATCAACAATTCTATTTCGACCATCAAGTTAATGACATGTCAATAACAAAAATAAGATATTATTATTAATTTCCACCTCATCTCCTCTTTCTCACCGTCTTTAGCAGCCGACCAAATCTAGGCATTCACGAACACGTACAACATTATCCGTTGTCTAAGTTCTCAAATCATAACTTTTGTAGCACGTGTAAACGGTCGAATTCGATGTTGCCTACTCATGTCTTCTCCTCATCGGCCACCTTCTTTGATCCTTAGTTTTTGTTCAAGAAACTATGACTACTTCACTTCTCCAAAATAAAATAAAATAAAATAAAACCTAATGTCTACTACATTAGCATAAATCAAAAGGATTGGAATGCAAAGTCTAGATGTGGTTCATCGGCCAATTGCCCTTGGCAAACGTAAAACGAATTGATAAACCGAATTACAAACGTACGTATTAGATATGTATGATTTGAGACTACCCATTAAAGCAAGTGAGACAACCAGGACACTGGAGGTCAAAGGAAAGAAATGAAAGATTTTCCACTAAGGAGGAACGAGAAGGCGGGTAATTGCAGCCAAAGAATAGCTGTGATCGGCTTCTATTTTCTCTTTTGTTTTTGCTAACCGCTAGCTAATATTTCTCTGCTTCCGAACCCTTTTATACGAATGAATACAAGTTCTCTGTTTCAGCTAATCAGTCGATGATTAGCACAAACATGGCAACATATGGGGGCATACGTACGTGATGGTTTTGTATAAACAATGATTCTCTTGGAAGATAATCTCTCCTTAAAAGAACCATTTTCAATCTTAAATTTGTTTAACTGTGGGTGTCAGGCGCGGTTAGATTAACAATAATTACACATTTTATTAGTCAGACACTTTATTAGTTCCCACAGCAAAGCGTGGCGTATAGCCGTATATGATCTAGTTGCATATAAGGTGGAAAGAAATAACATGTAAAACGAATTCCATATATATGTAAATATAAAGCACCTAATACTCGTAGTTTTCTACCGTTCAAGTGACATCCACTAGTAGTTTGTTATTCGATTCCTGACTATCAATCTTCTGCCCAACACCATATCATATATATATATATTCCCTTCTTCCCCCATATCTTTGGATTCTCATTCCTCAATCTCAACTGTACTACTCCTCACATGCATACAAAATGTCATCCACCGCGCTTCCTATATAAACCTCCTCAACACATTCAAACGTACAAGCCATAAAAAAAAAAGCTTCCCCACTTCCTTTCCTCTTTGTATATTTCTATTCAAACCCTAATAATGGCATCACTCAAAGTTGAGAAACCCGCCATTGGCACGCAGCTCTTCGGCCAGGCTAAGAAGGAGACGGCACCAACGAAGGCCGGAGGTGATGGAGCCGCCTCCAAGTCCAAGTCATCCGCTGGTTCAAAGGCCAAGAAGGGTGCTGCTGCTGCTGCTGCACAAAAGCCTCTGGCTCAAGGAACTAAGAAGAAGGCAACCCTTTTTTACATGCATATGTTGGTTTCTTAATGCTAGTGTTATGTGAATAAGCGATTCAATGTATAACAGTGTTTTCTTTTGCAGGGGAAAGGAGGAAAGGCAGCAAAGAACTAATCAGCAACTAGGGGAGAAGAAGTGATGAGGAGCTCATGGTTAACTAAGCATGCAACTAGTTAATCAATTAAGATGAAGAGATTGTGTTAACTAAATTTCCATGTATAATTAGTGTGGTTTGAATATGTCGAAGGGATAATGAGCTTCTTCGATATTGTGCTAATCAATGGAATAAAACAAGTATGAAAATCTCATATTCTCGTACAACAAGTTGCATTGATTTCAGGGTTATTTTAGACGGGGAAGTTTAGTGTGAGTTGGTTTTTCATGAAAGCGTACCGCGTATAATCTTTGAGCGAGAGAGTTATTGTAACAGTTGACGTTACGGATTGACAACCTTGATTGAATCACTGATTGATTTGTGAAATTGACTCTAAAATAGGAGGTTATATATGTTCACAGAATATCAAACCAGAACAAAATATTACTTGTTTGCAATAAAAACTAACTTTCCAAAAGGACACATTCTTTCTTTCATTCCATAAACCGACCATCGAAATATTTAAATGGAAAACATGAATCATCCAACCATCCTATAGTAATACTCTGCATGAATGAACTTTAAAGTTTCTTACAATAATAGGAATCGATCGGGAAGAAACCATTGAATCAGGCAGCACCAGAGCTATGTGACTGTGTCACTCTCTCCCTCATTGACTTTCAAGATATAATTTGGTTTTTCAATTTTTTTCTTTTAAATTATAACCAATTATATTTCGTTGGAGAAAGTAAATATCATTATGTTACCAAATTATTTGATTGGAAAAAGTAATAATCATTTTGCTACCTACATTATATCGTTGGAAGTACTATAAATAATTTTGTTACCAAATTATTCAGTGTTCTCAAAGTTTTATTTGGTGGTAATATCACTAGCTAGTTTTGAACCTGGAGATCTTAGGTTCAACTCTCTTAATTAAGTAGTACCTAATCACAAATAAATAAACCTATATCCCCCTCATCCAAAAACAAAAACAAAAATTTTTATTTGGTTGTCAATATTTTTTTTTATTTTAATAGAAAACTAATTTGTAAATGTTTTAACAACCAAAAATGCAATTTATCATATATACTAGTGTTTTAATTTGGTTGTAAGGTTTTGGTTACAAAAGCTAGCTAGTTTTTGTTGTAGTTTATAAGTTGAGTGAATGATCTACTCCTTCCTACAATACGAAATCATCATAAATTTAAATTATGCTAGGCAATCTCTTAATTAGATTCTCTAAAAAATCATTCAAGAACATTTAAATGTTCACTCAACTACAACAAAAGTTGATAACCAAGAAACCACACAAGTACAATCTTTTTATTTTTACAGGCTCCGCGCGCCTTAATGCACAGAATAACACAAAGATAGATGATCATCAGTAAGTAGATTCATTACAAATCCCAAACCCCAGACTTCATTTTTTAAGCATTCGACACATAACATAATTACTATGACATTATGCAGTGAAACTTGATGCCTATAATTAGCTCAAGCTTCTTCGATCTTCCACTCCTCGTTCGTCATTTCGCGGCGGCGGCGGCGGCGGCGGGCTTACTCGCTGCCGCCGCCTTCTTCCTGGGCTCCCTCTTAGGAGGAGCCTTGGAGGCCGTCGTTGCAGCTTTCGGAGCCTTCTTCTGCGGCTGCTTCTTCGGCGCCGCTGTGCCGCCGGCGCCGGTGGCTTGAGGCTTCTCAGCTTTGAGTGACGCCATATTAATTCCTTGATATTTTCTAGTGTGTGTTTTTGTTTGCTCAGCAACCTTTGTTGCTGGGTCTCTATTTATAGGCACGTGGGTTTGGCCGTAACGTGAATGCGTGTGGGCAAGGAATCAGAATTTTCAGTCCGTGTGTATAACTATAATGTCATCAAATGGCTACCTAAAAGTAGGGCATTTCTCTAGAGATAATATATATAGAGAGAGAGAGGTACGAGCTGCATCTGATGCTAATTAATTATTCAGCCAACTTTGGTAGCTACTAGCTACGTAGCTCTCTTGAGGAATAATATCGGGCAAGTACATTTAGAAGAACACACTTCTTTTTTTTTTTTTTGGTAGAAAAAATTTTTTTTGGTAGAAAGAAGAACACACTTCAACGTCAAATGAGTAACGAAGTTATAAATGGATGTTCAATTGAAATACTGCGGTCATACATGCACTATTTACCAGTCTGTATGATAAATGAATTTGAAAATGTTGTACAATATGAAAATAAGTACATAAAGATGATAAACTATCGGAATTAATCGGAACAGAATTAAAGAGCGAGACCAGCAGGATTTACGTGGTATCCTTGGAGAGTCCAGGACTAATCCACGGAAGAGTGAAAAACTCTTCAGCTACTGATCTTATTCTCCTGATTGTGTTACACTATAAAGCAGCCATTTCTACCTTATATACAAGCTGTACAAACCTCACAAAGTAGGCAAGAGAGAACGAAACACAACCCTAGCTCCCACACGTCCAACACGTCTGCATGAGTTTCATGGATGCAAAGCCTATAATTAATGGGCTAGTGTACAATAATTAATGGGCTTATTAACCCGCTAACAAAAGACTTCAATATCAAATACAGAGTTATGAATGCATTTTAAATAAAAATAACAGCACATCTCTCTGGGTTGCACATCCCTCTGTTAGATCCTTCTATTCATGCATGAATGAAAAACAATGAATTTTCAATGAAAATAATGCGGTTAGATTTTGTACCGCGTTTGTATGATTTAAAAATATTTTACAATTTGAAACCAAATCGTGATGTAAAAAAGTATTACAAATTTATGTATATTTTTTCTTATGTCGAACCCAACTTACACAAAATCCTTGCTACGACACTTTTTAAGTATGGAATCAGTTTCAACTTTCACCCACCACTAAAAGTTAGGATTCATGTTGCCAGATTACCAGCTCACATTTATAGTAAAACAATTAGTCATGCTTTGGGAATAATTTGTGGAATTCGGTAGTAAATTTATTCGTCACTGTTATTCTTCTGACAGTTCCTCGGAGAGCGCATATGGTGCAAGCTTCCACATGTATAAAGATTTGAGGAATATGAATATATGATGTTTGCTACAAATTTGTGCCTTCCACAATCCACAGTCGAATCAGATGCAAAACTCCTAACTCATTTCCCCTACTTGCCAAAGTGAAAAGCAAGCACAGTGGATCAGTTAAATATTCGGTAACAAAATTTGGAGGTACGGGTAAATATGCTCACTTTTAATCCTTTCAAGAGATATGGTGTATCATGTGGAGATAAAGATGATGTGATAGTTCTTAGTTCCAATAGTTGTGATTATTGGGAAATGATAGAGGGTCAAGACTCAAGACGGTAGAGGCCCATAGAGTTTAATGGGCTTGGTAAGGCCCAAGACCCATTTAGAAGCCTCGACCAAAGTTAAGTCTGAGAAGTTTGATTTAGGGATAGTAATAGGGGGTTTGGTTGGATTTGTCAAAATCCAAGTATAAGCCAATGGGCGTACTCATAAGAAAGCTCAGGTAAAATATTCATTGTATTTTAAAAGTGGAAATCCAATCAATTAGGTATTCGCGGGTGCATGAATATCTAAAGCTTAACGAACATAGTCATAAATTATTTCTTCGAATGCTCATATCGTAATGTTCTCGAAATTTCCCTAAAAATAATAAGTTTCATAAAGACTACTAACATCTACAAAGTATTCGTATTATTAGATTTATATTGCCATATAGATTAATAGTATCCATAAAATATTCATATTATTCTGATTAGATACAAAATGACATCATTTTTCTTTATGAGTGCGGAACCCGACCCCTAATCAACAATTTCATAAGCATGTAAAACCCACACTCGACCTAAAACCCGTCAACACTGAGTTTTACCCGCTTTGGTTTTGTTGAGCCGAATTGAGTACTCGTAGGTTCAGATTCAATTGTCATTCCTAATTTGAGGTGACTACCCAAAGACTGCTTGGGACATTTGTCCTAGGGTCCAGTCGGGAGTTATTCTGCCAACCAATTATGCTGCCAGAGAACAACCAAGTAAGAACCTCTCGTATCAACCGCCATATTCTTCTTCATTGTGCCGATTTTAATATAATGACTCAACTGTTCAATATGATTATACATCCAAGTTATAGTTTCATTTTACATATCAAGAATCACAACTACAATTAGCATAAGTTACATGTTTCCATTGAACAACACAACACAATTTCTAATCAAATCTTCTACAACACCACTACTTTCTTCCAACTTCTCTACAAAATTAAAGAACCAGACATCACATGAATCAATCACATTCACAATTTCACATACCCTTTGCTTAATTATCATCATTCAGGCTACCTCATCCTCAGAGCAACATAAGCCAGAACTCTGTATCCTACCAACATTACCCCCAAAGCAGCCACATCCCACCACACATGATCACCCAATTCCAGACACCTAATTGCATCAAACTCCATCACTTTACAATACCTCCCTGCTCCAGGCTCACATTCATACACCTCATCCGCGGAATACTGAACCCTCACCATCAGCTTGTAGCAGTAATGGCTGAACGAGACGTACTTGATCCACGAAACGAAAGGCGGGATGTGCTGAATGTAGTACCCTCCCGCCAGCAGAAACACCAGCATCATCACGGACGACAGCACCGTCGCCTGCTTGACTTCCATCACAATCGCTCCGATCGCCAGCCCTAGACCTTGCGAAACGAGCACGTTGAGCAGGGTTACGAAGAGGGTCAGGACGAATGCGAGCAGCGATGGCTTCAGGCCTCCCATCCAGTACGTTACTGCGACGAAAAGGGTGGGCAGGACAAGCTCCATGGGCAGGTCCCCTGCCATCCTGGCGAAGTAGTAGGACGAAATTCGGTACATTCCTGAAGAACGTTCCTTCACTAGCATCGGTCGCTCTTGTGGGAATGTGAATATGGCGTTGAACATTGGGAAGAATCCCCAGAAGATTGAGAAGAAGAAGAGGAGTCCCACCTGGTAGTTAGCAGAGGGATTTGATTAGTTGATGTTACCATTCATCATTTTGGGACATAAAATGGACTCATAGTTTAGTGGCCAATTGTGCAATTGAGACCTGATCTTGTATATGTGATGTGTCAGAGTGCCACCACAGGAGGCCTGAGAGAAGTGAAACAGACATGACTTGGAAGATCCTCAGCCCGGAGTACGATTCGTGTTTCCTTTCTTGTAGTCCTCTTCTGAACAAGACCTGAAACTGCTGCCACCAGGTCGCCGTCCATTGATACTCATCGGCCCCTGAAATTCGACAAACATTCAGGGGGGAAAAACACTTAAGTTTGCGAAAAATCGGTGGAATTTTTTCCGTCTATGTTATTCTGCTTACTAGTTCTTGGTGGTGGTGCCCCTGAGGTTGGAAACAGAGCAGAATCCTGAGAAGTGGAGCGGATTTCGGATTTTAATGCAGGGTACAAATTCTTCCTGTAAGACGAAACCAGAGATTGTTTGATCTTGTTCTGATCTTCGTGGTGGTCTGGTGGCATGTGGTAGAACTCTGATGAATCGTCCTCAGGAACTATACCTACAGGTAGAAAAAAAACAGAAGCTTGTGATCCACAACACTTGTGATCACAGGGCAACTTTTACAACAGCTACAGATGTTCCTGTTGTTACTGCGTCCACATTCGACATTTCCTAATCACGCTCCCATGTTTTGTATGATCTCTGCTTTCATTTTCATCCTCTTATGGTCTTTGTCCGTCCATGCATGAATCACAGGAAAACAAATCTTACAACTTACATATTTTGTTATTTTCCAAATTTATTACAAATACTTTTAACTATAGTTTGAATAATGAGGTTTCAATTCAAATATAGTTACAAATACTTAGATCTTAGATACATATGCATTAATGTTATTAAAAAAAACTGATTTTTAGCCTACATGAATTAAGGAGGTCTAATATAAAAGGTAAAAGAGGAACTATATTCATAGAATTGGTGCTTTCATTTTAAAAAAAAATATATGGTACGTACTGAACATGTATCTTACAGTGCAAATTCAGTTTATAACTTTGTACTTATACTTCTTTCGTACAAACGACTTTACTGAACAAACTGAACTTGTACGTTTAACGTTATGGTACAAATCAATTAGTACCTATACATTTTCGTACAAATTCTTTTATAGTACAAACTAGGGTAGATACAATTTATTAGTCAAATCTTTCAAAATACAAAATATTAGCCAAATGTTAAGTTCTCATTAGAAGTTTTGTTAGTAATATTGACTTGACAACATGATACTGACTTGAAATAGACATGTGACGGTCAACATTCCATAATTTTAGTATTTTCACTAAGAAAAGAGTTACAAAATTACTAATAATAACAAACAAATGACTAATGTTTTGAGGCGTTACAAAAGATTTTGCTAATAATTTTGAAAGATTGAGAGATTTGGCCAATAAATTATATTTATCCTACAAACTAAATGTGTCTTGTACAAATTCAATTTGTATTTATACATTTGTACTTTCAACTATAATATAAATTTTGTACAAATTTCTTAATTGTACAAACTAAATTTATACTTTCAACTATAATATAAGTTCAATTTGTATCTAAAAACACCGATACTTGGTACCATAGTAGTTGGTCTCGTAAAAGAGTTTACAGTAGAGAAGTAACCAAAAAAATATCTCGAAATTTCCGTCCATTATCTCCCTAAACTTCTTTTGTAAATCATCTTAAGAAAGTGGAGAGATTATTGGCTACTCCCGGAGTACCACCGATTTGGTACTCCCAGCCAATAGCAAATAGCCACGTGTCATAATTGTTTTCTTAAATATATTGAAATTTTTAATTTTCTTGTATGTGAATTATCTCCAAATAAAGCCACTCTCTCCTTGAAAAGAAAACAGAGCTGCTCTAGTCTGTCGGCTCCGGGCTCCCTCTTTGGCCGCCTTCGAACTGTCTCCGTTCATCTCCCACCGCCGCCACCACCGCTGCTTCCTCCGCTCTATTATGGCTCCTCCTCCCGTTGGCGTTCTTTTTTCTTTTTACTGTTTGCGAATCCGTTCCTTTGCAGCCAACAAAGGGCAACGGGCAACCCCGAGTTCGACTCCGACGCCAGCTCATCGTCGCCAAACTCTCCAGCTCGAAGAAGGCTTAAATATTTAAATAACATGTTCAATTGTTCATTGTACTTAGCTGTGACAAATGAATGGACAATGGTGGAGGAATTAATTGATTAAATGTAGATGAATGGAGTGGGAGGGATCTGGAGTTTCTAGCAGACGTAGGGGAGGAGTTTGAACTGTGGGGCATCCAAAAGACGACGACGACGACTGATGGGGTGGTTTGGGAGATGAAACGATTGTGTTTATTACATTTTTTATTAAAGGTAATTAACAGAAAAGGAAATTAAAATCTCGTAAATATTTTTATAAAAAATAAGTTAATAAAACTAAGTGAATAAGTGTCAAGTTTTAATTGGCTGGGAGTACCACATCGCCAATCCTAGGTGGTACTCCCGGTGTATGCAATAATTTCTCAAGAAAGTGAGCCGACCAAATGATTTGAGACACAACAACTACTTCCCTCCCCAGCAAAATTCCAGCGCAACGTAAAGAAAGCAAACTTTACCACTTTAAGCATCAATGCGCAAAACTTTCGGGTCCGAAATAGAAATGGGTAAACAGAGCTTTCACCATTTACGAAAAAGATAGACAGAAACACTAAAACAGTAAACAGCTCTCTCTCACTTACCGTTGGCAAGATCGAGAAGGAAATCAGCCGGGTTCACAAACCCAAACCCCGGGCGCCCAAACCCGACCGACCCGAAGTACTCCACGACCCGATCCGCCCGCCCGCTGTAGATCGACCACCCGTCGCACAGCACCACGACCTTGTCGAACATCCCGTACATCCTGCTCGACGGCTGGTGGATCGTGGTGACCACCGTCCGCCCGCCGCGGGCCTGGGTCTTTAAAGCCCACATGATCCGCTGGGCCGTCGTCGAGTCCAGCCCAGAAGTGGGCTCATCTAGCAACAAAAGACTCGGGTTGACCAGCATTTCCTGACCGATACTCACCCGCTTCCTCTCCCCGCCCGAAACCCGACCAACCATCGTGTCCCGACAGCGGTCCAACCCAAGCTCCGCCGCCACGGCCTCCGCCTGCGCCGCCTTCTCCTCTCGGGTCAGGGTCTTGGGCAGGCGGAGCAGGGCGGCGTACGTCAGCGTCTCGAGCACGGTGAGGTGCGGGTACAGGACGTCGTCCTGGGTTATGAACCCGATCCGGCGCTTCATCGAGCTGGAGAAGGGGGAGGCGTTGTAGGTTATGGTCCCGCCGGAAATTTTCCCCGGGAGCCGTCCGGCTAGAGCAGTCAGAAGGGTCGTTTTCCCGCTGCCCGACGGGCCGAGCATTGCGAGCAGCTCGCCCGGTCGGACCGTGCCGGTTACACCATTGAGGATCGGTCGGACCGGTTCCGGTTTGGTTTTATCGGGTAAGCAAGTACCGATCGGGGTGGATTTCGACGGCAAGTTGATACTGTATGCAACATCTTCAAACTGCACAAGGAAGAAAAGATCAGAAAAATCAGTTAAACGCGATTCATCTTAGTTTTTTTTTATAAGAGTGATACAGGTTTACTTTTTTGTAATTACGTTACCTTAACTGTTACAGGACGTAAGGATCGATGCGGGGCAGCAAAGGTGGTTGGATTGTTAGGTTGTGTTTGGCCCGGATCTCGTAAGGAGTTGGTTTGTTGTTGAATGTGGTTGCTAGATGGGTTGGGGAGCGGTTCGGCATGGACCAAGACGGGATCGGACCGGCCGGTTGGACGGGTGATGTTGCTAGCGGAGGTCGGACCAACATTGCCGGCGGGGTTAAGGGTCATTTCGTGGTCGGCGGGGGGCATCATTTTGGAACAAAGAGAAAAGGAGGAAAGCTGGCTAGGTATAGTTTTTTGCTGGAGAAGAGAGGAGAAGATTGAGGACATGCAAGAAATTTAAGGGCAACATGTGACGTGATTTATAAAGGGAAGGGGAAAGGTGGTGGAAGTGGTGATTTCATGACTTGGCCAAATGTTAACAGCTGCAAACGCACAAACTTTCAATCACGTAAAAGTGAGATGCAGAGATTGGAAATCAATTACTCATTCAGCTAGTAGTACCAGGCATCAAAGCTATATTCCTACCCTACCTTAGTTTGGGTTCAAGAAGAAGTAATGTATGATGTACTTATTTTCCTTGTTCTGATGATAGGTAGGCAGAAGAAAAAGGTTATAATTCGCTAATTACCCGAACTCGGTAGTTGATACGGAGACATGTGATTATGTGATTGTGTGGTATGTTGTGTGTGAAGACTCGACAATCTGACAATTCTCATTAGAAGGGGAACGTCTTCAATAAAAGGACTAGTTTCAGTCGTAAAACACGGCCTCCACGACTCAACTAACAACTCTACAGGTCCTGTAAATCAGCTCCCACAAACCAACTACGTACCGTCGTACCCTGAAGACTCTCAACGACGATTAACAACCTACAGGACCTAACTTACACAAACAGACATTTAAGGACTAAACATATAATAACCAAACGACGATGTTTTGTTCATCGAGACACATACTGAATTTAAACACTCTTAGCTTGGCGCCACTTCCAATTCGAGTCCGCTGCAGAGAGGGATTTCAGCTTCATTTCCAGTTTTGCTTTCAAATCGATCCAACAGTGTGTACTTAATGTTAATGGACAACCTATTTGAAATATCATAATAGCAAATAGCAAATACATAATGAACATATATACAACTAGTAGTTGAATGTTTTCAAGCACACACTAGGTAGCTAGTTAGGTGTTTTGTTCCAAAAGTCCCTAGTAAAAGTTTGTCATGGATGTGTGCAGCAAAGGTTTGAGTTATTGGGATAAATTGAAGCAGTTTATGATACTTTAGAGAGTTTGGTTCTTATAATGTTCTTTTCTTTTAGTGAGTTCTCAAGAGTGACTAATCACTTCTGCCAAAAAAAAAAAAGAGTGTGACTAGTCACAAAATAAAATCTATTTTCATACATGGAAATAAACTAATCTTAACTATATGACTAAGGGGGCAGGTGAATAATTGCAACGTGGCACTTCTTATTATATTGGCTTATTTTTAAGAGAAGAAGTCCTTAAATATATCAACCTTTTGTAGCCGATCGAGCTTCTTTCTTTGAAGGCACATTCTCTCGGCCTGCTCAAAAGGAAGTGACTTAGCTTCCTTGCCATTTCTTTTGCCATATATCATTCATCCCTCTCTACGAACTCGAATCATTTGAGAAGAAAGGACAGTAAATGAACACTTCCATCTTCATTTCTTCTTCCTTGGAGTTATGAGTATGAGGAACATAATTAAACGTCTTCCCTGTCGTGTTCTTCACGTATTCCATCCCTCAAAGAAATCCCAACTTCCTGTGCATTCGCCAAACCCTACAATATTAGTCACGTTATATCGAAATTCCACTTCTGCTGCCTGTACAACCCACTAATACGTTTGACCCAATGACATTGACATCAAGATATTGCACCACCACCGTTAGTCATAATTTGAGCCTTCACTTCTGTAAAAACTAATTCACAGAAAGATTGGAGGGAATAAGTTTGGCGGGATAGTAACGTACGTGGGTCCGCATCAGTATTTCATATATGTGATTATCATTCATCAACGCAAGTTTGACAACAACGATAAAAGGAAATGATTAAGTATCATACATAAATCTCTCCCAACAACTCGATCGAGTTAGTTAGATTGGTTTATGACATGATATAAGAGCTGATTTGTCCCTGAAGTAACATGTTGAAGTCCTCACGACCCCTAACATTAAACGTTGTCTTTAAAAACACATGGTATGGAGGGCATGTGCAAAACATCAAGCTCGTAAGTTGGCATTCGTTTGATGAGACGTGTAAGAAAGTGATTAAGTACCAAACATAGAGTTCTCTCAACAACTCGAGTTATTGGGACCCCTTTGCTTATAACAAACAACAAACATGAATAACGAGTTACTAGTGATAAGTGAAAATTGAAATTGATATGATCTGCTCCTTTGGATTATCATTCCCAAAACGCAAATATCCCAATAATATGACTTATCGAACTGTACGTTTTGAATCGTCAACTTCCTAGATTTATGGAATATCACGATAATCGAATCGAAGTAGTCTCTCGAACCACCTATGTTGCTAGGTCACCATCGCAAGAAAAGGTTTGGCAACCAACAACAAGGAGAAGCGTGGAAAGAGGAATAAAAGCAATGATCAACAATATATGCAAGGTGGAAGTTGGATATGTTTTTTCCGTGGTCGTAATTACTTAAAAGTGAGAAAGAAGGAGGGAATCTATAAGGTTATAATAAAGCAAAAACAAATGAAGTGACCAATGCCCACCCAACCAATATTATAGATACTTTAACGTACACAGGGGAACGCTCTAGCTAGATAGTTGAAAAGCTAGCTGCGATGGAATAACTATGTAACGTTTGTGGAGACAGAGATATATCCTGCGGAAATTTTTTTGCAGTATCGTTAGTTGGCAAGCACCAGTGACGAAGGAGAAGGAAGCGAGGTAGGGATACAGCAACTACAACTTTTCATCGTGCATGTCAAGCCATTCTGACAGCATGATTTCTTTTTAATTAGCAGAACAGTGAAGAAGGGAAGGGATGCCCCTAAACTGGAAGTCACTTTCATGTTGGTGCCAAATATGATGACACCATTGCATGTCTTGGATTCAACACATGTATTCTTTATTTCTCAAAAGTCCAGACTTGTGATGATGGATGAACTGTATTATATTGGTGATTTATGTTAACAATTATTTGTAGAGCCACTTCAATAGTATCATTATGAAAATATAAACGAAATTAGGAAGCCTAATTAGAAAAAAAAATACCTACCCAGTTGAGATTTGATATAATTGCATTGATCTGATGTTAAATAAAACGGTCTAATAGATCGTTATACCGCAAGTAATTGGATCATAGTCTCTTACCGTGAGAATGGTTAAATGTGCACTAGCACCACCAACTATATGAACTCTGCCAACCCACATTTGATGCACGAACAAGGACATTTGGATATCCTACAAGTGGTGGACAAAGTTTATGATTTTTCTGTTAACTTCCATGTGAGTCGTACAATTTAATAAATAGGAATCTATGATCCATTTAGTATGATTTTGTTGCTATTGTGGTTTCAGATAGTTGTGATAATAGAGGTACAACTACAGCAACATAAAATAGAAAACATAAACTTGTTTGGTTAGTAATTATGAGAAATCATGGATGTTAGACAATGGGAAAAAGAAATGTGTTTAGCTATTTCTTTAGGCACCATTTTTCGCGTTTCGTATCAATGTTGAGATTAAGATAGAAGTATGAAAATAATGGAAGAAATAGTGTAGCATGCCGAGTTCTGAGAAAATTGAAGGAGAAAATAATATGAAAATAATATTGGTAATAAGATTCGGGGATGAGTTATGCAAAAATGGAGAGAGAAAAATATGTAGAAAGCGAGTCTAATGAGGTTTGATCATAGAGCCCCTTAAGTGAAATTATTGCAGCAATTGATAAAATCTCACAAGAAATAGTTTTGAGAAACAACAAGGAAGCTGGTTTCACTTATTTTAGCTAATTTTTGTTGTGTTGCCAACTCTTGTTACCACAATAACATATGAAAACAAAACTAAACATGTTTTCTGTCTCTGTTTTCACCTCTCAAAAAGAAAACCGAATAAGAAATGACAATGCCCTATATTAACTAAGTACACAATTGCATTGGAAAAAGCAAAGAAGTTACTTAAAGTTTTTCGATGTTTTCAACTAATTTTTTTTTATTGTTGTCAACTCTTGTTATCACAACAACATATGAAAACAGAACTAAACTTATTTTCAATCTTTATTTTAACATGTGAAAACAGGAAAAAACTGCAACTGGTTCTAAATGAGACCTATGTAAATAACTAAGTACACAATAGAATTTGAAAAATAAAGAAAGCTAATTATTAAATAAGTAAACAATAGAATTGGAGAAAGCAAGAAAGTTGGTTAAAATAATTTCGGGTTAAAGACACATTTGGTCACTGAGATTACAAAATCGGGACATGTTTAGTCACTAGAAAAAATTAATATCAAATTTGGTCACTACAATTACTAAAACTGGACGCATTTAGTCACTCGCCGTTAGTCTCCGTCCAACTCTGTTAATGAAGTCCGTTAAGTGCTGATATGGCAAACAGAATTGCCTAATCAGCCGGATATAACCCAACAAAAATAAAACCCTACCCGCCACCTCATTAAAACCAACCCAACCCATGGCCCAACCCTACCCAACCCTTCTTCCTCCTTCCTCCCCAACCCGATTTAGGGTTTTCCCCATTCCATCCAAATTATTATGGGATGGGGATTCTGCAACGGGAAGAAATGCGGGTTTGCAGGGAGGAAAGAGTACTGTGGGGTGAAAGAGTGGAAGCTGCTGAAAGCTCTGGAGCCGGTCTCGATGGGGGCCGGGGTTATGCCGAGCTACGGGGAAGGTGAGAGGACGGAGATCATGTACATGAGAGCTAAGTTCGAGAGGATTGTTGGGTCCAGAGATTCCGAGGCTTTCTACATGATGAATCCCGACAGCAATGGCGCCCCTGAGCTCAGCGTCTATCTGCTTAGAGTCTAGTAAATTAGGGGGTGTTTTGGAAGTGTGGGGAAGGAGGAGGATACTAGGGGGATACTGTTCACCTCTTAGACTTTGTGACTGTTTAGGGATTCTTCCTGTTTTTCATGGGTTAGATTTAGGAGGTGGTGGCGGTGGGGAAGAAGGAGAAGGGTGTAAATGTATAGTGGGTATTTGTTTGGAATACTTGTTAGTAATGGCGGAGAGATCTTCTCCCCGCTCAGCGAATTTGGATGGGATGGGGAAAACCCTAAATTGGGTTGGGGAGGAAGGAGGAAGAAGGATTGGGTAGGGTTGGGTCATGGATTGAGTTGGTTTTAATGAGGTGGCGGGTTATAATGACGTGGCGGGTCGGGTTTTATTTTTGTTGGGTTATATCCGGCTGATTAGGCAATTCTGTTTGCCACATCAGCACTTAACGGACTTCATTAACGGAGTTGGACGGAGACTAACGGCGAGTGACTAAATGCGTCCAGTTTTAGTAATTGTAGTGACCAAATTTGATATTAATTTTTTCTAGTGACTAAACATGTCCCGATTTTGTAATCTCAGTGACCAAATGTGTCTTTAACCCAAATAATTTCACAGCTTTCAGCCAATTTTTGTTTTGTTATCAACTCATGTTGCCACAATAACAAATGAAAACAAAACTAAACATGTTTTCAATCTTTGTTTTAACATGTGAAAACAAAAAAGAAAAACTGAAAGGGATACTAAACGGGGCATTTATTATTAACTAAGTACATGATAGAATTGGAAAAAACAAGGAAGCTACCCAAATTTAATTCACCGTTTTTCGGCTAGTTTTTGTTTTGTAGCCAACTCCTATTGCGACAACAACATATGAAAACATAAATAACATTATATCAGTCCATGTTTTAACCTATGAAAACAGAAACCAATACTAAATGCGGCCTGCATTATTAACTAATACGAGATAGAATTGGACAAAGCAAGGAAACTACTGAAATTTTTTCATCATTTTTTGCTATATTTTCAACCTTTAACATGGGAAAACAGAAAACAAAAAATAGTAAATGGGGCCTATATTATTAACTAAGTACACAATAGAACTGGAACATAACTCTTAACTCTAGTATTTATAATCTACTCATCATAACCATAAAAAAGCTATTGAAATATATAATTAGTATCATATAATACATATATATGCTTAACAGTTCATAAGAAACGAGCCCAATGAACAACATAAGCCCAAGGCCCAAGGATATTGATAGCCGTTAGTGTGACTTTGGCAAGATGACCTCCCTTCACCTTAGGGCCCAGGAAATGGACTCACAGTTGGACCACCTAGACACATGCTAAAAAAAGTACAAGAAAACGCTTCAAGAAGATAACAGAAAGCAAATCTGTGTGACCGTGTAAACGTATATATATACCTCAACAAAACTTCAGGATCCCAGAGAAGAAAAGTACTCACTTTCGTCCCAATTCAACAGCCGGAAACCAAAAACTTCCACAGCAAATACTTAACTTTTTCTTCAACCAGTGTTCCTCATTCCAGCAGCAATCCCGTTAATGGTGATCAGCAAAGCATCTCTGAGCTTCACGTTATCGTCATCCCTCCTCAGCCTCTTCAGAATCTCGACCTGCAACATGTTCATCGGATTCAAATACGGCAGCCTCCCTTCAATCAGCCGCCTCAAGCTCTTGTTGTTGTCCGACAGCTTCTCGTGCCCGCTCACCACCAGCACATACTTCTCCGTCGACGACAGCTCCTTCCTCAGGTCGTCCCCAATCTTCTGCCTGCCCTCCGAGACCAGCACCTCGTCGTAGTGCTTCGCGATCGAGGTGTCCGCCTTCCCTATGATCATCTCGATGAGATCGATCGTCGACTGGAAGAAGGGCCACTCCTGGTACATCGCCTTCAGGTCCTCGGTGTGTCCCTTCTCGCAGGCGTACTCGAGTCCTGCGCCGACACCGAGCCAGGCGGGCAGGACGAATCTGGTCTGCGTCCAGGCGAACACCCAAGGGATGGCGCGGAGGTGGCCGATTCCTGTCGAGGCCTTCCTGCGAGTGGGACGGCTGCCTATGTTGAGGTAGCCAAGCTCGGCCTGTGGGGTGGCTTCCTGAAAGTAGGTGATGAATTCCGGGTTCTCGTACACCGTGCTCCTGTAGTTCTTGCAGCTCACCTTTGATATCTCCTCCATCAGGGTTCGCCATTTGAGTTCCCGAGGTGGCAGCGGTGGACGCAGAGTTGCGAGCAGGACTGCAGTTGTGTAGATCTCTAGCTGTCTGACCGCTGTGTTTGGGAGGCCGAACTTTGCCTGCACCATTTCTCCCTGCTCAGTTGACCTCAGAGTGCCCTGCCAAATGTAGAGAGAGTAATTTGCCTTTAAGTAACGTTGATTGGTATCTGAAGATCCCGAAGAAATCAACAGGAAATTTTCCCCTAGTTCAAGAGGTGGCAAATTCAAATCCAGCGGATTTGTAGTTTGGTGGGTTGACGGATTTCTGCAAGTTACTATTTAGTACCCCCAAGCATTGCTTCAATATCACACATCTATCTTACTCGTTAGCACCTAAACTTGAAGGAATTTATAGGATCGTCCAGAAGTGAGTCATAGCTTCTACTCTGCCAATCCAGTGCACAGGTATATAACTCACCATTACTGAGCCTGGAGGTTGGGATTGAATGGCGAGATATGTGGGGCCGCCGCCACGGCCGACGCTTCCTCCACGGCCGTGGAAGAGAGTTACTTTGATGCCGAACTCGTTGCATGCACTCACAACATCCTCTTGGGCTTTGTAAAGCTCCCAAGCAGCAGTGAAGCGGCCTGCGTCTTTGCCAGAGTCCGAATATCCAACCATCACCTAGTTTTGTTTCAGGTTGGTCAGAGTTCCAAATCGAGGTTTCAGTAGGGAGCATTGACCGAATTCAGTTTGGATTAAATGAATTACCTCCTGATGGCCGTTATGATTCTTGATGATGTGCTCCTTGTACCAATCGATGGACAACAGTTTTCTGATTACCGAACCAGCGTCTCTCAGATCCTTCACAGTTTCAAAGAGTGGAGCAACCCGGAGCCTACAGAATAGGAAACACAGATGACATGAGAAACAACCTTCATATATATGAATGGCTAAAGCCAGAGTCTAAAGTTGACTTAGAGTCGCGGCATGAAAGCTTCATGTTTGGTATTCTTCGAAAATGGACATGTTCAAGAAACCAAGGCCAGTCTAAGCTAAGAAAGCAACAAGAGAAAACGAAAGATTGACTTACGTTCCACCAGGACATGGTCTCCCTAACTCTCCACTAACAGAAAGACGGGCATCTTTTTGAAGAAGCTCCACTGCAAGAACATCACTTGCCTGACAAGAAACAGGTTATTAGTTTTAACTTTTAACTTTTTCCTACGTTCAATTACTTATACTAAGCAGTTCTTTTGATAAACAAGAACTACTATTTCTTTCTGCCAGATTCTGAACTCCAATCCCAAGCTTTGGTGTGAGTCATTACATTGGATGCCATAGAAATCACATAAGCTCCAAGAGAATCACTGCCAAGCTCAGCAGCCACGCGGAAGGTATCCAATACTTCTTTCACATCGGGTGGAACCTGCGGATTAGAAATATCTGGTTATTCAGAGTATGAGAATTGACTACTCTCCGTCCTAGCCTAGAAAGCAAAAACAAGAAGTACCCTCTGGAGTGGACACGATAGTTCGTGTGGAAGTATCTCATATACTAGAGGATATTTGGTTACAAGCTCTACCCTTCATAGACGACCTAATTCATGACCCTATGATACAAATGAATTTGGCCATAAAAACATTAAACTGTACTAGGCTACTAGCCACTTCTAGATAAGATCAATCTGCACAACTTGTAATGATCGCTATTACTAAACACCACCTATTCCAATTTCATCATGATGTATCTAAAAATAATTCTCAACATTTGTAAAGTCTATCATGACAAATAGTTGCTATGTTTTATCCAAAGAAGCCAATATCGATGTGATCCTCTGGTAACTATTGCCTGTTATGGTCCATTTCCGGCTAGCAATATATACAAGGGAAATCAGAGAGATGTAAAGAGTTTACCTCAATACTAGAAGGAATTAATGGCCTCTTTCCCTTCAGTTCTCTTGTTAAGAACTCTAGCTTCTTTTCCTCGTCCCACTCACTATATGTCCCTATATCCAGAAATTTGGTGATAGCATCCAAAGCTTCAGCATGTCTACTAGATTCCTGTTACATTGCAGTAGCTTCAGTGAGTAGCAAGCTATTATAGGGAATTATTTCACCACTTGTCAATCAAGGCACACCTGTCGTAAGTCTAGCTTCATCAACACCATGCCAAAGGTGGAAACTCTACGTATCAGGTCAGCCAGACGACCATCAGCTAGAAACCCAGACCCACATGATTGCTGTAAAAAGAAAATTTTGGTGCACATCAATCTTAACTGTAATCTCGTATTTACTTTTTCCTGCAACCAGATGGGTTTTCACAAATGCGAGTTGCATATTACCAGAGAGTCGTAGCATAAAAGCAGAGGCTCCAACAGTTGATCTGCTGTTTCAAAGTGATCCCAAGGATCGGTTTCACATGGGATATCTTCAAGAAGCAGTTCCAACCGTGTTCTTGTCTTCATAAGCTGAATCACAGGGAAAGCAAGCATAGATGTCTACCTCATTCAAAGAACTTAATAGGATAAACGCTAACTACGTACCATGCAATTGAGATACTGATCAAGAACATAAATGGAATAGACTAAATTTTAATGGACACAGAAAAACAGTAAATGTTATGTTAGGTAGTCTCTTCCCTCAAGAATCATACATGAGTGTTAAGCATAATCACATGGTTCCATTACTGTCTCCATAATTTCCCAAAATGTTAGTTGCCTCAGCATCAACTTCTAGAATCTTTAACATTGGACACATGGAATCAAACAAGATCAGAAAATGGTCCCGGAGAATGTAAGTAACTTCGCCATCTTGGTTTACCCACTCACATGCCTAGATCTTGAAACCAAT